TGGAAGGCAAGTGTGTTTTTTGAGGCTTGGTGGATGAGAAGAGAAGACAGAAAAGAGGAAGCTTGACAAGAGAGAGTCAGATGCATAGATCTGATAGCTGTGTAGGTATGGTGCACCTTCCAGACTTCCACTTCTAGGTGGAAGTCTGCATTTAAAGCTAGAGTGCCTCAATTCAATGTAAAAGGGTTGGGGTTTTTTGTGCCTATTCATTTCACAGGCACCCATTGAACCTCCCCTTTCCACTCCCCCTTTCCCTTCTCCCATTTAACCACCCACAATGGCCTCCTTCCAGTTCTTTGGATTACCTCCTTGTTACTTCAACTGCTCAGTTTCTTACCTCTCTAGCCAGTTCTCCAGACATGGATGCCTCCTCCTCCCATGGATACTGTCACTATTCACCATTTAGTGTCACCCTTCCTCTAATAACCTTCTTCCACTCCCTACCCATCTACCGATGCTTACCTCCTGTGCTGTCTGGCACATCCTACCTCTTCTGTTTTTACTTATGTCAGGGGTGGGCAAAATGCAGCCCGGGAGCCAGATGCGGCCCACCAGACCATTCTATCTGGCTTGTGGGGCCCCTAAAAAAATTAAAAAATTAATATTTATCTGCCCTGGGCTGCCTGTCATGCAGCCCTTAATGGCTTGCCAAAACTCAGTAAGAGGCTCTCTGTGCAAAATAATTGCCCACCCCTGACTTATGTCCTTTCCATTTCATGTCTATTAGCATTTAATGGTAGAGACAAGTGACAGAAAGCTACCTTTAGGTAAATAATGGTTTGCAGCTTCTTGATTTCAGTAGTGAGGATCTTGGCCCTCACTTGGTTTACAGATTTTGTCATTGAAGGTTAATAGGTGGGTGCTACTTCTTGGGGATATTAGGCAGATTATGTTTTTTAAATGTTATTTATATTCTCTGTAACTTCAATATTCTCACAGAAGAGACCTCTCAAATCCTAAGACTTTCCCTAAGTACAGCTTCCTCCATAATTTGTGTCCCATTTTTCCCTCTAAAACTTGCCATTGCAACTCCATTCCATATTATATCGTAAGTGAGGAGGGTAAATGTCTGCTGTCCTTGACAAGTCAGCCAGAAACGTCTGGTCCCCTCTCCCTCCAGAGACCACGTCAGTAAACTGTGTAATATATTTAACTTCTATTACCTTGGGGAACAAGAGTCTCCAGAAGCAGCTTATTAACACCCTACCCCTAAGCAAACTCATATACGTTACTTTTTATCATGTTTAATAAATTACACTCCACCCTATAAAATGTCTGTGACTAATATGTGACTGATACAAAGCTGTTTATAATTCACATAACTCTTTATCTTAGCTTTAATCTCACAGCATAGAACATTAATAAAGGTGACAAAACTCCCTGGTTCACTGACATAATTTGCATTCACATATTTAGGCTTATTTGTATTTGTTAATTTCTCCAACCATACGACAGAATATGGCCCAGATTTTGACCTTGGATATTTCAGTATAAAAATGGGGAATGTTTGACCTAATAGAAACAAAGTGAGTAAGAAAGAAAGAAAATCCTTTGTTAAAATAGCTAATTTTCACTGCCGAACAATTAATTCCTGGTTTTATCAATGAATCAACAAGCCCGAATTTTGTATGAGTTTCTGCTTTGCTTTCATTTTACCATCCTGATTTTTAAAGACAAGTATATTTCTTCCACAGTCCTCAAAGGTTTATTACATTTGAAAAGGGCCATATCCCTTGGTTCTTGGTACTTGGTTCAATAATGAATCTAGCAGCTCAAGAGCAAATGTTTAAAGTAAGACCAATTGCTCAAGCAAAACCAGAGCTAATACTAAAGCCAGTACTAGGAAAATATTGGAAAGATTATTTGTGACATTTGTTCATTTCTAAACCACTTCACTTTCATGTCCTTTTAGGGTTTGTTTTCTCTAAATATTTAGGGAGCAAGTCAAGAACATTTACCTAAGCAGTGAATTTTAAATTAATATTTCAGGATTCTTTCTTTTTTTTTTTTTGCTCAAGTGTCTATTTTTACACTTAAAATTTAAATAGGAAATGTCATGTTCTGGTAAACTCTATTTTTTCTGAAATAAATCACAAATGCTGACATTTCACATATTGAAACCCAAGAGGTTGAAGATGTTGTATTCTCCCTGATTCCCAAATTGGGAATTCCTTTTCTAGAATGAAATTTAATATATTTCAAACCAAAATTAAATGAAATGAAAGAAAGAAAGGAAGAAAGAAAGACTTTGACTTTTTAACTACTTTATTCAGGGGTTCAGAGATACAAAAAGGTTGTCCACTTGCAAAGCAAAAAACAAACAAATTACCATCAAACCAAAAATACCATGTCATTGCATTCATCACATCACACCATGACAAACAGCTTTGCTACATTCCACGTTGTGGCGTACATGCTAGTTATGCGGTCGGAACGCCGGCCACACAGTTATAACTATAAATAAACAGTTCCTATCCCACTCTATCCAATCATACACGTGACAACACCTGCAACTTCCCACTCAAAAAGAAAGCAAAAAAGCAGCCTGGTGAGGGCCCAAGACGTGGCACGAGCTGGAAGTCGTAGTCCAACACTGAGCCAGCATGGTTGCCCAGACCAGTCATGACATCAGAGCACATATTTGAGACGGCCGTCCTCCACATGGTACAGTGCTCTCTCAAGGGCCCAGCGTGTCTCAAAGGCAGGCACCGCCCGCAGGAGCACAGCGTACTTAAACTCTTTCTCTCTGCATATTCTTTACCCTTTAATGGTTTGTGCCAGTACTTTGTGGTTCCTTTAAGGAATTAGCCATACTTTACCCTTAGATTATAATCCATATATCTGTTGGTTTTAGTTTGTAAAACCATTTTGCATGAGTACCCTTTAGAAATAAGAAATATATTTTAAAATAAAAAATAATACACGTTTATCTACCTTTTGCTTTCCAAAGAGTTTTACAAACATTAACTAAGCTTGCACCCTAGAGAGGCGCTATTGATAAGTAAAAAGCATTTACCCCATTGTGGGAATGATGAGGCACAGCACAGTTAAATGATTTACACAGAGCCCCAGGGATTCAAATGTTGGGTTAGAAAACAGACGAGCTGTCTCCTCCAGCCCTGAGATCATACCCATGTCTCCTGTTGCCCAAAGAGTATAAATCCCAGTGTTGCCAGTTCTTGTAATATCACTGGCAGTTTCATAATATTTGGTGGTGTTAGTCAAACCCCAGTCCTTACAGTCAAATGATTGCCTGAGAATCTCAGCTTCCATTGTAAAATAAAAGATATTTCTTGCCCTTGTTGTTGTAGAGGAAAGCTTGAAATAATGAGCCCCAAATGTTCCAAAATCAGTAAGCCAAGTCTCTTTCCCTCTCCCAAATCTTCAACATCTTGGAATTACAGAATCATAGAAAAGTTGGGCTGAAAGGGACCTCAGAAAGCCATCTAGTTCAACCCCGAGTCAAGGCACAATCATCTCTGTTTATACCATCTCAATCAAAATTTTGTGGTTTTTTTAACTAATTTCTTGATTTTGGAGGGGAATCTAATTATTTTTGCAATATTTTGGGGCTGGTGGGACAGAATATATTGTTATTACATTGTACTCTATAATATTTTTAAAAAGCTTAAGTGGTATTATTGCTCTTACACCCACGTGACTTCATCCTTCTAGTACAGTATTATTCTGTACTCCACTTGCTGATTTGGCAACCTCTGTAACTTAATAAACTGGCAGTGAAGGAAAAAAGAAATGAAGTTCTCTGAAGAATTTACTGAAAATCCTTGGATAAGGATCTGCATCAGATGGGAATGTAAAGATTTCAGCCTCAGGAGAAGGGTTTAGTATTTGATACTCATCCCACTCCTGCAAGTAGATTAGTACAAAGCATAAGATACTTCTGAAGTAGCCATTACTGCATATTAACAATTACTTCTTATTGGGAAAATGCCATCGTGTATAAAAAATAATCTAGTTCCTATTTTATTCAACTATAAAGGATCCGTCTTGATAATAATCCCAAATTTGTAGTACTTACTCAGGCAAAAATCCTACTAAATCAATCCCTCTTAAGTGAAAGCTAACCTAAAGCCCAGGAGAGGTGTTGCCAGCACAGAGGAGGATCAGAATATCCTACAGGAAGAACTATATAATTCTGAGGACTGGAATAGTAGAAGTGGTATGAAATTAAATACTAAAGTAAAAGACCACACACTCAGGAACTAATATACAACCATTTATGTTATAAAATGGGAGATTATCTGTTGGAAATAAGAGGAGGAGAAACACTTGAGAGACTTGAATTGATTATATGCTGATTATCATCCAGCAGTGTGATATAGCCATAAAAAGCAAGTCTGATTCCACCATGTATCAACTGAAGTATTTCCTTGAAGGATAGGAAAGTATAAATGTCGTCATATGAGACACTGAAAGACCTCATCTGGAATACTGTATACCTTTCTGATTCATTTATGTTCAAGAAAAATAAATTCAAAATGGAAGAAGTGCAGAGAAAGGATACTAGATAAGGGACATGAAGAGTCCATCTTACAAGAGGAAACAGTGCCTTGTAGAGGGGTCCTTATTACAGTTTTTAGCAGTCTCCAGATATAATGATCCTAATGAGGAAAGATAAACACTCAGCATAATTACTTTTTTTTTAAACCTCAAATGCTCAATGGCCAAGATATTAACCCTACATTGCCAATCTTCTTCTTTAGCTGCCATGATGCAGAAGAGGATGAAATGCAATTAACTCCGTTTACAACTCTGGGAAAAATGATGTTCTGCTTAATAAGGAAATACATGGTAATTGGTCATAAGGCAAATAATATTAACAGGTGAGCCATTTGTCTCCAAATGAATGGATCATAACCCAGAAGATTTTATCTGCATCAGTCTTTGCTCTTTAAGATTTTTCATTTTAAGAGTAACTGCTAACATCATCTTGAGATAAGAGAATACATCAGAGAGAAATTCAGAAGCCAATCTGAAGGCAAAGCCTTTGTGTACTTTGACACAAATCTTTTGCATTCTCAGTGGCATAGCAGCTCATTGAGGAGAGGTTCAGTCCCCACGAAATGTTAATATTTGCATACTTCAGACAACAGGAAATACCTCCTCCTAGCAGGATGATGGAAAGATCAGTGAAAACAGTAAGGTCAGGACTGCTAGTGAGATGGCTCTGTTGCATAGAAAAGGGGCAAAGAGGTTAAGAACCAAAGCAACAGTTGCTCTGTATTTGGGATTTGCCCTGATTCAGGAATTAGTGGCAGGGGAAAACAAAACTATGGATATGGGAAGCTGTGGTTTATATCAGTTTCAAGCAAATTGTGTCTTTTCTTGTCTTGGCTTTGCACTAGCACAGATGCACCATTTGCTGGTCACTCAAATATAGCAACTCACCCAGATTACTCAGAGTCAAACCCTAGATACTATAAAGCTTTTGTTCATAAATAAATACTTAGGTGGCAATTTTCACTGAACTGCTTAGCCGCTCTTTCTAGTCCTCTTTTCTAATGAAGTTGTATGTGTCTTTCCTGTTTTTGTTGCAGGAAAAATGCTTTACACCTTTCTTCTGCTGAAGCTATACAAGTTTTTAAACAGGCATTATACCTAAAACCTAACTCATGCTAAATTCATGAAGCCATACAAAATGAGGGGCAGTCTCAAGTCTGTTTTTACTTTTAAAAACTGCCAAAAGATAGGGAAAATGAACAATTTCCCTTGGGGCCCTGCAGCTTTGCTAAACTCCTCCCTCCCTTCTCCAGTCACCTGTGTGCAGTGCAGCACAGAATGGCCTAATTAGTATGTGTTCTGCCCAAGGTACAAAAGAGGGTGTTTAGAACAAAGCTGAAGTGGAAGGCCAAATTTCGTTTGCAGCCTGAGATCAGACACGTCTGGCAGAAAACAAAGCCAAGGTTTCAGGTGCAGACTAAATCAATAGTTCTGACCTGAAGGGAAGGTGGGCAGCACCTCACAATATAAATGGGAGTTATGTTTGTAAGTAATGTGAGATACATGAGTTCTTTTTTCCCAGTCAAACAAGAAGGACTTTTGACTTTTTAACTACTTTATTCAGGGGTTCAGGGTACAAAAAGATGGCCCCTCTGGGATCCAGGACCCATATACAAAGCAAAGACAAACAAATCACTGTCAAACCAAGAGTACCATGCCATTACATTCATAACATCACACCATGACAGACATCTTTGCAGTATTACACATCATACCTAACATGCCGTTATGCGGTCAGGACACTGGCCACGTGGTTGTATACACCAAAGCCCTCTATAAACAAATGATTCCTACCTTGCTGTATCCAATCGTACACGTGACAACCTTCAACTTCCCACACAAAGAAAAAAAGCAAAAAGCAGCCTGGTGATGGTCCAGGGTGCGGTGCAAGCTTGGAGTTGCAGTCTTCCACCAAACCCACCCAGTCGCCCAAACCAGTCATGACCTCAGAGCGCATATTGAAGATGGCCATCCTCCACATGACACAGCGCTCCCTCAATGGCCCAACATGCCTCAAAGGTGGGCACTGCCTGCCAGAGCACAGCATGCTCAAACTCCAGCGAGAGGCATGCCCGCACCAGGAGGCTGAAAAGCTGCAGAGTATTCTCTGAGCTGGTCCTGGCAAGCCGATTGTGGCAGCTTTTGAAGACAGCCATCATGGCCCGACCCAGTAGAAAGTTGGCCAGGCAGACAGTTCCCCGCTCAGCTGCCCAGTTTGGGTAGGAGCACACCTAGGTTGAGAGACTCCTGACCAGTGCCCACCTCGGTGGCTTGAGGGTGACAAAGTGCGGCCGCAGGCAGGGACAGTTGAGGAAGGCGTGAAAGAGGTTTCATAGATTTCACAGATTTCATAGACATCAGGGCTGGAAGGGACCTCGGAAGATCATCGAGTTCAGCCCTCTGCCCCAGGGGCAGGAAGCCAGCTGGAGTCAAAGGATCCCAGCAAGATAAATATACAAATGTCTCTTAAAGGAGTCCAGAGTAGGTGCTTGCACCACCTCTGGAGGTAGTCGGTTCCAGGCCTTTGGGGCTCGAACAGTAAAGAAGTTCTTCCTTATGTCCAGCCTAAAACGGTCTTGGAGGAGTTAGTGACCATTTGACCTTGTCATCCCTTGGGGCGCTCTGGTGAACAGGCATTCCCCCAGGTTCTGATATACTTATATACCTCTTATATACTTATAGGCAGCCACCAGGTTTCCCCCCTGAGCCTGCATTTTTCCAGGCTGAAGAGTCCCATGGCTCTCAGCCTCTCATCATAAGGCCTGTTCTCCTGCCCTCTGATCACGAGCATGGCTCTCCTCTAGAATCTCTCAAGCTTCTCCATATCCTTTTTAAATTGTGGAGCCTAGATGTAGTACTCCAGCTGTGGCCTCACCAAAGCTGAGTACAGCGGGAGAATGATATCCTGGGTCTTGCTTGAGGTGCATCGGTAGATACAAATCAGAATTTTGTTTGCTTTGCCAGCTGCAGTATCACATTGGTGGCTTATATTCATCTTGAGGTCAATCATGACCCCCAAGCCCCTTTTGGCAATGGTGCTAGCAAGCATAGAACTGCCAAGCCTATAAGCATGCTGCAAGTTTTTTTTCCCAAGGTACCTTGCATTTTTCGGTGTTGAGTGCCTTCATGTTTTCATCCGCCCATTTTCTGAGCATGTCTAGGTCAGCCTGGATCACCATCCTATTCTCAGGTGTGGACGCTCTACCCCAAAGTTTGGTGTCATTGGTGAACTTGGCCAGCTGGCTTCTGGTACCAATGTCTACATCATTAATAAAAATGATAAAGAGTATAGGCCCAAGGATGGAGCCTTGGGGGACCCCAATGGTCATGGTGCACCACAGTGATTTACTTTCATCTATTACCACTCTCCAGGTCCAACCTCAGAGCTGATTCCCTAGCCATTGGACTAACGTAGCCGATGCTGCAGTTGGCCAATTTTTCAAGGAGGAGATCATAGAACACCAGATCAAAGGCTTTATTAAAATCAAAATCTATGACATCAATCTCTTCTCCCTTGTCCAGGTGATATGTCACCTGGTCATAGAAGGAGATGAGATTGGTCAAGCAAGACCTACCCACAACAAACTCATGCTAGCTATCCCTCAGGATGTTGCCATCAGCCAGCTTGTTAAGAATGATCTCTGATAATTTTTTCCAAGATCTTCCCCAGGATAGAGGTCAGACTGATAGGCCTGTAGTTCCCTGGATCCACTTTCCTCCCTATCTTGAAGATAGGCACAACATTGGCCTTCTTCCAATCTTTCAGCACTTCACCTGAGCTCCACGAGTTCTCAAAGATCCATGCCAGGGGCTGAGCTATGATGCCTGCTAGCTCCTTAAGTACCCTGGGGTATAAACTGTCAGAACCAGCTGACTTGAAGGTGTCCAGCCTCTCAAGGTGTTCCTTCACATGGTCAGCATTGATGTAGGGTAATAATTCTCCTTCTCCCTGGCCATCCTGTACCATATTGATTAGGGCCATCCCTTGGGGCTGGTGAAAAAACCGATGCAAAATGCCCATTAAACAGGTTGGCTTTTTCCTGGGCATCAGTTGTCAGTTGTCCCATCTGGTTTAGCAGGGGTTCTTGCTTTTCCTCTGGCTCCCCACATATCTAAAAAAAGACTTTTTATTGTCTTTGCTACATGTAGCCAGTTGGAGTTCAGTTGCAGCCTTGGCTTTCCAGGTTTGCTTCCTACAGGTCTGGACCAATGCAGAATACTCCTTCTTTGAGGTGGTTCAAGTCTTCCATCCTTTATAGGTCCTTTTTTTTTAGATGCAGGAGGTCCGCAAGTTCCCTGCAGAGCCAAAGGGGCTGCTGTGCCCTTTTGCTGCCTTTCCTCCAAGATGAAATAGACATTGCTTGTGCTTTCAGGATTGCTCCCTTGAGGAGAAACCACTAATCCTGAACTCCCCTCCCCTTCGGGTCGTGGTCCCTTAGGCCTCACCAACAAGCCTCCTGAGCTTGTCAAAGTCAGCTTTCCTGAAGTCCAGGACTTCTGCATTGCTGACTGACTTGCCAGCTTCACAGTGGATAGTGAATGTGATTGGCTCATGGTCACTGTCTCCCAGCTTCCCTTTGATCATTAGATTGTTGACTAGATCATCCCCCATTGCCAATACCAGAGTGTGCAGCACTTTGCCTCTTGTCGGTCCATAGACATCCAGAGAGTCAGATAGAGCTCGTCCACGCATGTGAGTAAGCTTTGCGACCATTCAGATTTGGCCAAGTGCTCTTCCCACAAGACGTCTGGGTAGTTGAAGTCTCCTATGACAACCATTTGCTGGGAGCTTGCAGCCTCAGCCAGTTCCTTGGCAAATTCCTGGTTGAGCTCTTGATCCTGCTTAGGAGGTCTGTAGTAGACTCCTACCATTGTGTTCCCTGTGCCATGTTCACCATGGATTTTAACCCAGAGAGTCTCCAGTTGTCCACCCTGGATGCCAATGTTGGCTTGCAGGGATGTGTAGCTTTCCTTGACATAGAAAGCCATTCCCCCACCTCTTTTGTCTACACAATCTCTCCGTCTATATCTGTGGCCCAGTCATAGATGGAGTCCCACCAGGTTTCCATTATCCCTATGAATTCATAGTCATTCTTGTTTAGCAGGAGGACTAGTTCCTCCTGTTTATTCCTGAAGATCCTGGCATTGGTGTACAGGCACCTAAGTGTCCCGTTGGAGACCCTCGTCCTCCCTACACATCATTATGGGGCTGGGGTAGGAATGGGTTCCCTTGAGTGCCTTAGCCTGCTGGATTTGCAAAAGTTGTCCAGTGGGCTAGCAGTGGCAGTAGTCCCCCCATCCCCTGGTAGGCTTAATTTAAAGCCCAGTTGAGCAGGTCAGCCATTCTGTCTGTGAAGAGCCTCCTCCCCAGTGCAGTGAGATGGAGGCCATCTCTTCTCAGCAGACCAAAGCCTCTCTCACCAAAGAGAGGACTGTGATCGTGGAAGCCAAAACCTTCACAATGACACCAGCTCTGCAGTCTTTGGTTAACTGTGGTTAACTTTGGTCCATGTGAGGTGGTGCAGGCTCCCACCCTGGGGGTTTTTAAAAGGAGGTTGGATGACCACCTTATTGGGGTCATTTGACCCCAGTGCTCTTCCTGCCATGGCAGGGGGTCGGACTAGATGATCTGCTCAGGTCCCTTCCGACCCTAGAAACTATGAAACTACCTTGATCCTCCTCTCCTTCCTCAGCCCATAACTCAAATCTGGGAGGATCAAGAAAAACACCACCTGTGCCCCCAACCCCCTTAACCCCACTCCCAAAGCCCTGTAGCCTCTCATGACCCAGCTGGGATTGATCCGAGCCATGCCATTTGTGCCCACATGGATAAGGAGCATAGTATAGTGGTAGGTGGGCCGGATGAGCTTTGGGATCCTCTTGGTTACACCCTGGATATGAGCTCCTGGGAGGCAGCAGAGCTCCCGAGCTAAGGGGTCAGGGTGGCAGATTGCGCCCTCAGTCCCCCTCAGGAGGGAGTCTCCCACAATGGCCACTCTATGTGTGGCCTTAGGAGAGCAGGGACAGTAGCTGTGAGTGAGCCTCCATTGCCTGCAGGAGCTGGCAGCTCTGAAGGATCTACTGGGGCTGCAAGAGGTTCATACCTATTGCAAAGCTCCAGAGGCAAGGGGACTGTGGTGCAGTGGGCCTTGGGGCCATTGACTACCTTGGTCCAGCCCCCTGGATGGACAGTATGGGAGATCCTTGAGTCCCCTGTCCTGGAAGGTGACTTTGGTCTACTCTCAGCCTCCAGGGGGTGAAGGGTCTGGCAGTAGGAGTCTATCTCCTGCTCACCATTCCTGATGGCACACAGCCTCTGAATTGTGGTCTGAAGCTCCTCTATCTGACGCCTCAGCGACTCCAAAGTGGAGCAGACCTTGCAAGGAGAGGTGGCCATAATCCCGGTCCCATGTGCCTGGAAACGTGCCAGGCAGCCCCTGCAGCTGAGATCCAGAGGCTCCATCTGTGTGGAGCCTGGAACCATTGGGTTCCATATGGGTGGAGACGTCAGAAGTGCCAGAAGGGGAGGCCTCAGACTCCGAAGGAACCCTTGGGGTGTGGTGTGTGGCCATCTGCATTGTGCCACTGGTAGTCTGGCTACTGACAGGACTACTTACCCTGTGGCTCATTGGCAGGGCCTTGGGCCCTCCCACTCACCCTCCTGCATGAACTCCCATGATAACTCATGCACCAGGCCCAGAAGCATGCCTGTTTATGCTTCCTGTTCACAAGGCTGTAGTCATGTGAGTCCCTGGGGGGCTGGGCCGAGTAGGAGCTGGGGAGGGTGTGACCCTCCTCAACTCCACTCAGCTGCCCTTCAGCTAGGCTGTGTCCTTCCCACCACAGGCTCCTGTTTACCTGCGGGCAGGCCAGGGTTCATCAGGGGATCTGGTGTCCACTTGGGTGGTCCTGGGGGTTCCTGGGCTCACGGGGGCGCAGCAGGCTTCTGCCCATATGTCTTTCACCAGAGCTGGGGGCTGAATACAGCTCCTGACATTGCCAGACCATTTTTAAACTGTGCGCATGCATAGAAGGGCCTGCCGGTGCTGCCCCACTCTCAGAGGGGCTAGGGGGTCCCTCCCCCCACCAAAGGAGGGGACAGGTAAGTGTCCCCACTTCCCTGTCTCACATGCCAGATGGCTCTGGTTGAGTGGCTCCCTTGGGGGGCTGGTTCTCCTCAATGCACCCGGGCCAGAAGGGGTTGGCTGTCGAGGTGGCTGGGTCAAAGTGGGACACAAACATACCACCGGTTAGGATGCCATGCAGCAACCGCCACCGCAGTTCACCAGTCTACATGGAAGTTGGCAGCTTATCCAATGAGTGCCGTGCCAGGTGGGCTGGTGGGAAATCTGGCAGCCCCAGGCACCATTGGCATGGTGTATCAGGGTGGCCTGCCAGCACCTGGGCATGGTGGGTGTGAACCACACAGGCATACAGGCTTCTATGTGGCAAAAAGCAAAGGGGCAACCTGTGTCACTGTTGGGAGGCATGGGGAGCATCAGCAGAGTACCAGGCCTGCTGGCCAGCTCACTGGCCACAGCCGGGGTGACTGGCAGTGGGAGAAAGTCCTCACTTGAGGAATCCATGATGCGGGGGACCTGGCATGCCTGGAGATGGTCATCCAGGGTGGCTGCTGCTTCCAGTGGGAGCGCAGCCTGGATGTCATGGAGAAGACTGCCAATGCTGCAGATGGAGTGCATGCCTAGCCAGGTGATTAGGGCCTCAGGCAAGAGCCAGGCTGACCGAGCGGGGTCAAGGAGATGGCCCAGGTGGAGGACATATGCTTGGATGAGGGTGGCTGTGAGGCTGGCAGAGGCCAGGCTTGGCACAGGGTGCCACAGGGCTGGGTTGTGCACCAGGGGCTCCCTCAGCAGCTGCAGGAACTGCAAGTGCTGGGCCTGGGGCTGGAGCCAAAAGGTGGCCTGCCAGGCTCATACTATGACATGGTGGAAGGCCAGAAGCACTGCCCAATTCAGAACCATGAGGTCCAGCAGGAAGAACTCTCAGTTGAAGCTGAGGGCCCTGACCCTCTGCAGGAACTGACACACCAGTTGTTGCCAGGGTAAGCACTCCTCACCAAAGAGAAGTTGCTGAAGGGCTTGCAGGCAGAAGGTAGCTACCTTGCTCACCAGGTTTACAAGGCTCTGACACCCCTCGGCGACAGGTAGGTAAAGGACAGCTTGTAGGAGCCAGTGGCATCCATCCCAGAAAATCTATCAGGAGGCACTGGAACCTCTCGAGTAGGTCCTGTGGCAGGTCAAGTATGGCGCACTGGTGCCACAGGGTCACCGCCACCAAGTTGTTGGCAATGAGGACACATCCACAGTAGGACAGGCTGGGTAGGTGCCAGTGCCACCATTGCAGGCAAGCCTCCACTCCCTCAAGGCCATCCCAGTTGCACACCATGAAGGTCAGTGGCCCCAGGAACATGCCCAGGACCTTAAGGCTCTTGTGGTGCCAGGTGAGGCCCCCTGGCAAATCTGGGGGTGTCACACTGGTCCACACATGAAGCAGCAGGGTATCACTCTTGGCCTAACTGATACAGGCTGATCACTCATAGGCTCGCTGGCAGTCCATCAGGAACCACACATCTTCCTACATGTTGCAGAAGATGGTCACGTCATCCGCATATGCCGACAGTTAGAGTGAAGGGCCAATGGACAGGCCAGTGGCTAATGGCAGGGCCACACTGCTCAGGCAGTGTCACAGCATGTGCAGCAGCAACTCAATGGCCAGGGCATAGAGCATGCCCAACAGGGGACAGACCTGATGGATGCCCCTGCACACACGGAATGGGGCACAGAGCAGGACCTTCACTTTGAGCAGGCTGGAGGTGTCTTGGTTCAAGACCCAGAGAGCCCTGGGGAAGAGGGGCCCAAAGCCAAAGGCCACCAGAGTCTGCAAGAAGTAGGCATGGTCCACCTGATCAAAGGCCTTTTCCTGGTCCAGAGAGATAAGGCCAATGTCCAGGCCAAAGTGTTTACTGGCTGTGAGTAGGTTGCGCAGCAGGAGCAGGTTGTCTCGGATGGTCCTAGCCAGCACGCAGTAGCTCTGCTCAGGCCCAGTGATGAAAGCCATGATGATGTAGAGGTGGGTCGCTTTGGCCTTAATCTTGTAGTTTGCACATATCAGGGAGACTGGCCGGTAGTTCTTAATGCAGCCAAGGTCTTCCTTCTTGGGCAGCAGCATGAGCACCACTCGGCCACAGCTGATTGGCAGGACCTTGTCTGCAAGGCTCTCCTGGAAAACGTGCAAGAGACAGGGGCTGAGAAGAGCCCAGAAGATCTTATAGAATTAAGCAGGTAACCCATCAAGGCCTGGGGCTTCGTCAGAGGTGAGGTCACCCACAGCAGCTGCCAGCTCCTCCAGAGAAAATTCCCACTCAAGCTCACTGGCCTCCAGGACACAGAGATGTGGCAGGCCCTCGTGGAGTTTCCATGTGGCAGGACAGCTCAGCCACAAACAGATCACGATAGAAGGCAATGGCATGCTCACATATTTTGCCCAGGTCTGTAATTACCCAGCCCTCGGGGGTCTTGAGGTGATCTAAGACTTTGCTCACTGCCCACAGCCACTCCAGGTTGAAGAAGAAGGGGATTGGAGCATCAGTTTCAGCCAGCAATAGGCAGCGGGCGTGGATACTCACTCCACAGGCTGCGCTCTCCACCAAGTCACACAGGTTTTTCTTGTGAAACCAGAGGCTCTCACATAGCACTGCACCACTGCTGGCGGCCAGCAGAGTGGTCTTGAGCTCTGTCACATCTTCCTCCAGCTCTCAGTTATGGTGGCAGAGTTCATTTGTGGCCAGCTGGGTGTACTGTTGGCAAAAAGCCCAGATCTGTACCTTGCCCAGGTCCCACCATAGCTTCCAGGAGGATTAGCTCAGTTTCACAGCCTCCCAGCCCTGCCAAAAGTGGGCAAAGCAGTCCGGGAAGTAGGAGTCTTGAAGCAGGCTGACATTGAAGCAGCAACAATGTACCTACACGCAGGCTCTCCCAGGCAGGCTCAGTTCACAGCAGGCCAAGCCATGATCTGTCAGGACCGAGGGAACAATGCAGCTTCTGCACAGGAGTGGTAGATGGTGTCTGGTGACATAAAGGCGGTCAAGGCGAGCTATGGTGAGACCACCAGCACTTATCCTGGCCCAGGTGTGCTAGCACATGTCAGGATGCAGGGCTTACCAGACATCTATGAGGTCTGCAGTCTCCAGGGCAGACTTCAGCTTGTGGGCAGGTGAGGCTCAGGCCCTGTGCAGTTGAATGAGGCATCAATGGTGCACTTAATGTGCCCGACTATGAGAATCAGGTCATCATCCTCACTAGCGTTGTGCAGGAGGGTGGCCAAGGAAGGAAGGAAGGAAACTATTGTTTTCTGTTGAACAGCCAGATTTGAACAGGACACCTGTGACTGGGTATAAGCCTACCCCTTCACTACGAACATGAGATAAAAATCCAGATCCCTTGGTTCATCACTTGCAGACATGTTAATGGAAGGATAAAAATGGTGACTCCTGAAGTGGCAGAAGTGGCAATGCAGCATTGAGGAGGCCATGCTCCACACTCCAAACTGGAAAGTTGCTCAGGTTAACTTACATCATTTTGCCTTCAAGTTTCTGAATACCAGCCTTTGAAGAACAGACTCTGCTTGATAATGATTGATTGCTTTCCTGCTGAGTCATTACATCAACATGGTTTCCCCACCTGGGTGGAGGGGAAATGATGAAGATGCATTTAAAATTATTTTTTCTGTCATGTATAGAGTTTAGTAAATTGGCACAAGTCCAGCCTTCTTCTTCCTAGCCCTTATGCGTTCTTTTCTTCTTGCCTTGCCACTTTCCTATGTGATTAGTCTATCCCTTTCAACCACCTCTGGGATGTGGGCCATCAGAGCCTTCTTTGGACTGATTCTGGGGTAATGCATCAACCTATTTTTGTAACACACAGTGATATAATGAGTTATGTGCCAAGACAGTGACATCCCTGTGCTTGGGTAGAATCTCTATGCTTGATGGACTGGATTTGCAACATGCCGATTGAGTTGGGCACTTGAAAAACTAAGCACGTTCAAGTAGGATCTGACTTCTTTCCCAGCTTTGTACAACCAGATATCTATAAATATTTATGCATAGTCAATCTTCTAATGCAGTCAAAGTTATCTTTCAAGTCAACAGGAATTTTACCCATGAGAGGACTGCAGGATAATTTCCTAAGCCTTCTCACCACAAAACTAAAAATTGGATATGGCCAAGAGCCACAAGACACAAAGCTTTCAAGTGGCACGTGCCCCAGAGTCAATGATCTGCACAGAGGGTGCATACAGCTGTCCACTGCAACTGGTCTACATTCACATGGCTTACTTAAAACTGCATGAATGTAGAACAGGCACTGCATGTACAGTCTTTCGCCAGGGACAAGAGGTAGAGGTGGAATCCAGAGGGGTTAGCAGGTCTGTGGGGGAGGGCATACACATTCAGTTCAACTTTGCTTCATATCAAACAATTGGTTTGTGCATGTTAGGAATCATCTAAAATAAGTTCCTTCTTTTACTAGCCTAACAGAGTAGTTTTGTGACTAATACTTTTCAAACAGTTTACAGTTCACAGCATGAAAGTGCCACATTTGCCCTTGGCTACTTAGCAAAAGAAAGCAATAAGTTAAAACGGGCAAGATTTGGAGTGGACCCAAAGTTACGTGTTAAAAAAATAACCCAGAAAACAAATACCGCTTTGATATGCGAATAAGGAGGAGGCCAGTGATTGCAGTTATACTGAAGATATCCACTTTTATTACATTACATATGATACAAGTCCTAGCTGTCAAAATCCTCAGGAGCACCTAAACAGATAATAAACAATCAGTGAAAGACTTACGGCTACATGTTTTTCATAGTATTGGAAATCACCTGGGAACCATATTTTAATGGAAAATACAGCTTGATGGAGACAAGCCTCATAGATTTATGAAGAAACTGCAGCACAAATCAAGTGGAGGGTTTTGCTTTCCAAAGCAATGGAGAAGTAGCACCAAAAAAAAAAATTGAACATAAGATGAGGAAGGACACATAAAGAGGAAAGAAAAGAACAAGTGCCCTTCTAATGATTTATGTTTGAGAGAAGGAATATGCCTACTTGTGATCTTGTTACACTTACTGGTCTTTGCGATTGTTATTCTTCCCCTAAGAGAAGTGGTCATGTTACACACTGACAGAAAGCTACACCTCTTCAATGTGATTTGTCCACTTAAAACAACATTCATCATGTTGCCAGTTTATAAATCATTTAAGCCAACCAGATTAAGGCTATGGAAAGCCAGCACCCCTAACTGATCCTCATGCCATTTAATTCATAGACCTGCATTTATTTACACTAAACCTTACCAACCAAAATACCAGAGCCTGATGCCAAGTTAACCCTGATTGTCTCCTCTAAATTAGAATGTAAAATAAGGTCTTATTTTTAACATGCTAAAAAGACAGATCCATGCCCACTTAACTTTAAATGTAAATGTAACATCAATCTATATCATGCCAACAACTAGCTTGGGTTCAGTAAAACAAACACATCTTGGGAATGTTACACAGTGTGGAGAAGCAGAGCACTTCAAAAGCAGTCCAAAGAAATAAAGTAGAACCAAAAAGGTATAAGGTTAGCCCACATATTTAACCTATTTTGTATGTAAAGAGGAGAAGAAGGTACTTTTTTCACATATGAAAATATGTTGCTCCTTTTTGGAATACAAACTAACATAATTCACATTGTGCTCTTTCTTGTGTTCTCAGGCATTGATTCAAGCAAACTGAAATGGCCAAACCTGAAATTGACCTTTCGTTCAATTTAAACCCCTAATACACTTAAAGGAAGCCAGAGTGCGAAATTAGGCATATGACACAATCTTCACAGTTG